CTCGACCCTATTAAGCTGGCATTTCAGGGTATTATTTTATATATATACAAGGAAAATTTGAAAGTTAGGGGGGGCTCGAGCACCCCCCTGCCCTTACCTGGCTACGCCCATGCCCTTGTGCTCAAGTGCGCTCGGGAATAAAAATATAAAAGATTTACTGGGCTATGAGATGTTGCAAAATTATAGATTTTTCTTACTGGTCGTTAACTAACCGGAAGTCCATCTTTTTAATTTAGACGTACATGTTTTTACTACTGATTCGCATTTTGAGAATAAAAATACGTTACTCTTGTTTGAAACTTTTTTCTCGGAAGTGCCTTTTTCAACCACTAAATGACCTTCGAACTTTAACTCGTCCAGATCCGTGCAAAACCTCTATGTACTATAGGGACGCTAAAACGACACGAAAAAACGCCGAGATACGTAAACTTAATTTTGAGTCGTACATTAGGGATCTGTATACCGTTTTTCTAGATCAGGTTATATTCGCATGATATTTTCATTTTAAGTTTGCATTGAGAATGAACAAAAATTAAAATTTTAATATGAAAAATGTTACTCATACGCCATGTAGGATTATGTACCAGTACGGCCATCAACGGTATGTGTTAATATGTATTACCTAAATAGAAATTTCGTAAACATTTTCTCACATACATACATATATTTATAAATCGATTGATTTGAGGGAAAATTTGAAAATGATAACCAAAAAAACGGCCAAATAAAAATCATCCCGATCAGCCTAGTGATTGCCGTTTAATGATAACCGCACTTGCTCAGTTAGCTGTGCGAGCTTCTGAGCTTGTCTTGCTGGGGCGGGCTTGGTCATTCTAGAACGTGACTCCACTTAAAGCGGGTGTGCCATCGTACCTAATTGTACGCAATCAACGCGATATTCAGCTGCTGAATAGCGCGCGTGTGTAGGTGTGTTCTGTAGTACACTTGTTTAGCATTTAGGAATTGACAAGTTCGCTTCAACGCATCTGGCGCGAAATTTAATTAAAAGCAAAGAAATATTTTAATAAAAACAAACATAATAAGAAACAAACAAATTAATAAAAAATAAATAAATAGATAAGAAAATAATACACACATTAATATGTAAAAAATTGCAAAATAATGCAAACAGTTGAAATAAAAAAAAATGAGTGATAGTGTTAATAAATGTAGAACATCATCTAGTTAACGAGTTTAAATATCTTTTTATTAAAAACGTATGACTTAACTAAATATGCGCTAATTCATTTGCTTTAAAAGTGGTGCAGTTGTAGTTTATGACGACAGCGATCTGTGCATATATAGTTGTATGTATATAACTTTGTATGTTTGCATTTTTATTACTATTTAATTGATGTTTGTCAAAGTGTCTCAACAATGATAAGCATTCATATTGCGCTCGTATGCAACAAGTGGCTGATTTTTTTATTTTTTTTTAACTATAAAGCCATCAGACTTAAGGGATATGTAAAAAATCATAAAACGACAGTTAATCTTAATTGCAGCGAATTTTCGTTGCACACCCACGTGAAAATCTTATATAGAAGCCATATCAGCTGTGCATATGTATGTAGAGGACGGTTGCATACAGCAAGATTTCTTTTTATATTACAAACTACAGACATACATCTGCACATATGTATATAGGTACATAAATGTGTGGGTTTAAAAGTGCAATGAGTGAAATTTTTTATGAAAAAATAAATCTTGATAATTTGAAAGATCTCTGACAAATATACAGGGCAATACTGGCAACTATCTTTCGACTCACCACAGTATTGCGTAAGACAATTGTCAATTTTAGCAAATATTTTGAAAGCTCTTTACTGTCTTTCGGAAGATTAATCGAAATATCACCTTTTAAAAATTACATAAAATTAGCTTTTTAAAACAATAAAAACTAATAAATAAAAGAAGAAAAAAAAAATTAACAAAAAAATAAAAATAAATTAAGGCAAAAATATATAACAAATATTTTTAAAAATTAAAAGAAATTAAAAAATATATGTTTTTTTCCTTTTAAAATAATAACAACTAAAAGTTAAGTTAGAAAAAGATGAATCAAACAATAAGAAAATAAATAGTACTTAAAAATTAAAAAAAAATATTTATATTTTTAAAGCAGAATCTTGAAATTAATTTAAAAAAAAAAAAAAAAAACTTTCTCAAAAAAGAAGAAGCAAATAAAATACGTTTCTAAATTTAAAAATATTTTTCTTTCTTAAAGAGTAAAATCTAAAATTTAAAAGAAGGAAAAAATTAAAAAAAAATCAAATAAAAAATCAAAATATTTTTCTTTATAAAATAATAAATTTGGAAAAAAATACGTAAAATAAGTTTCTAAAAATTAAATTAAATTGAATTTAAAAAAATATATATTTTTCATTTATTTTTATTGAAACATTAAATTAAATAAAATGGTTCAACTTATGATTGAATAGCAATACTAGTCCAAAGGGAAAAATAATGAAATTAAAAATTAGTTAGAATTTCATAACTCATGGAACTGTTGAGTCATAGTAAACATTTTTCTTATTATTGTAATCAGAGCTTTGGATACAAGTGATTCAGTGCGGGTTTGAGCAATTGTCTGAAGCCGTTGTTTGAAACTAATACACCTAACTAAATACATACATGCCTGCATATACATACATACACATGTGTACACGTAGATATTGACTTGGGGAATCCGCACTCCTCGGGAAATCTACATTCAAGCAACTCACATATCCGAACATCAGTTAAATACGCTGGATTTTTTGTCGGTGAGATGACTGTCCGTCCGACCGCTTAGTTCTGATCTTTTAGCCGGTTCTGCTGCTATTCGCATTTCAGTCGCGGAGTGTTATTATCGTGTGTCGCACGTAACTTAAATTTTATGTGTTAAGCAAAATTTCTTAAAGCGTTTAGTTTCGGCTAGATAAATCAAATATTTTTTCTTTTTTGCAAACAGAATTAAATATAAATATAAATTTGGTTTCATTCAACTCAATCAGTGTTGTAGTTGGTGGCTCATTAATTAAGGAAGTGAAGACAACGAGGCAAAGCGAAATAAACGTAAAAGTAAAGGTACCAATACAAATAGTGAACAAAAAAAAAACAGCTAAAACCAGCAAGAATTTGCCGATAATAGCTACAACAACTGTTCAGCTATTAATCAAATTTAATAAAGGAAACAACAACAACAGCTAACATTTGCAAAGATGTCAATGTACGCCAAACAAAATCGAAAATCTATTTTTAATTTAATCATGGGTGAGTATCTGATTATGAAATTGCAAATACACACAGATTATTTATTATCAACTATAATTACATATTATGGTGATTACGTTTCTTCCAAAAAAATGCTGCCCTTCCCCGGTGCAAAATGTGTTTGATGTGTTAGGCTTAGTATCCAGCTCTTAAGAAAAGCAAAAACTCCATATAAAATGACGTACAAGAAATGGCTAAGAAATTTTCTTGAGTCAAATTTCCTTAAGGCAGTACGCAGTTCTTCAGAAATTTAGTACGCTTTCTACTACGGTTTTCTAAAGTTTTTTGTGAAAAAAGAGCACAAGGCAACCCAGGCTTGCAACAGAAACATATTCCCGTTCCATTATTTCTTGAGGAAAGAGTGAGGCAACAGGCTGTGAGGTATAAAAAATGTCAAAATTCCTTGGACACACACGCGAAATAATGGCAATTTTTTCTTGACCGTTTTCTTAAGAGCTGGATACTAAGCTTAACACTCAACCCTGAAAAAATGCATGTTTTTGCCTTCATAATATTGTCGTTTTAAATAACTATCTGATTTTCAGGGCAACTATCGCCCCTGACAAGGTTCCACAGGGCAGAGAATGTGCCTTCTTTGCCTTATACAAGATTGACATTTTAAGAAACGAACACAAAATTTTCTCACTGTTTGCCTTTAATTTAGAATCGAACACGAAAGAGAAAGGGGCAATCAAAAGGCGACATTTTTTTGCTAGAAACGAAATCACCGTTAGTTAAGCTCATACTCAAATTTGCACTTGCATGTAAAATCCCTTTAATCTTTGTAACTACCTGGTTTCTCAACTGAAAAGTGTTGATACTTGACGTCAATCAAAAAAAAATAATACCCAACTAATTAACCATAATCAGTACTTACTTAGGGTCGGTTGTTCAATGTCTGGTTATCACTACCTCGCAGTTAAACATTAAATGAGTACATACATATGTATGTATGTTGTCGCCCTGGGTTGACGTGGTCCAAAGTTATGCGGTAACATACATAAAAAAAAAATATTCTGACGAACTGATAATCTCCTCCTTTTTTGGAAGTCGGTTAAAAAGATCAAGTAGTGATATTCAGTGGCGCAAACTGATGGTCGGGAAAAATTTATATCCGCAGAATCTTTATAAAAATAAATGAAATGAGATAAAACTTTCCAAAAAAAAGAGGACGCAGATCGATCCATTGGTCAATTTCTTTGTTGGTTTGAATAGCGAAAATCCGCGGGAAAATCTATTTTAAACACAAAAAGTTAAACACGAATAATCGAACAGCTCGAAATTCAACTACATATGTACATATGTATGTATAAAAACTAGAACAACATACCCAGCCAGCAAAAAACTTACATTTTACGAACATTATGGGCTGGTTTCTCCAACTCAACTTAACTTAGTTTAGCCACTTTTTGGACTTAAGTCAAAAGTTAACATACCTGTTATTGTTATTCATGACTAAGTCAAGAAAATTGGCTTAACTAAGTTAAGTTGAGATGGAGAATCAAGCCCTATGTTTCACGAGGGATTCTCGATCGGGGAAAAGTTTGAAAATGGCTCGTAAACGATAAAACAAAAACAAAATAAAAGAAATTGTAGCAATTTGTCAGCACAAGAAAAAATTGTCATTCTGTTGGAAATTTTTCTTGAACCACAATATTTTATAATATATAATATTCGCATACGAATGCTCTTTCGATCCGTTTACGACTTTTCGTAGGCGATCGACAATTTCAAGCGATAAAGTACTCGAAAACGAATCGTAAACGGCTATCATAAACGACATTTTAGCCCGTTTTTCTTCGAGAAAATATCCAGTTTCCAGTTTGTTTACGATAATTTTGCTGGCTGGGTAAAGATTTAACATTTTTATGTACAGTGGCGGGCAAATGAAAGGGTATGCGACGTTCGAACAAGTTTTGACAATTTTTTTTGTTGTTTATTTAATGTTTATTATTATTTTTTAAATGAAAGTGTTGCTTACAGATATTTTGACCTTATGCCACCTACCGGCAAAAATTATCGTGAAGTTATTCTTTTTCATGTATGTGTAATATATATCTATCTATCTATACCTCTATACTAACTATATAAAGAGAAATTCCTTTTTTGTAGCAGGTAATCTCGCGAACGGCTGGTCCGATTTTCGTGAAATTTTGTATATAAATAGCTTTCAGCAACCACCATGCCCTAGGCTAAAAACAAAACTTACTTTTTTCCGGGAGTTGGACCAGCGTCCGATCTATTCGAAAAAATCGTATTTATGTTTCGATTTGCTTAAAATTTGGTACGTAGGTAGCTTTTCGACAAAAAATTTTTCCGGGAGTTGGACCAGCGTCCGATCTTTTCGAAAAAATCGTGAAATACGCAGTTAGCGAAAACATAAAAAATCGTTTTTTCTATTT